TAAAATCCATAAGAAAAACTGTTCATTTAGAATCATTGTCTCTTCTATCGGTAATCCGTTACATGCGTTGGCTTCATTTTATTCAATATAATGTATGACTCTTTACCAAAAGCGGAGAGTCACATAAGAAATAGTTTTCATCTAGTTGATACTTTTAAAGGATTACATGTCAATGATGATTATAAATTAATTTCTCTAGATGTTATGTCATTATTCACTAATTACCGATAGATTTGGCGGTTGATTATATCAATGAAAGATGGATATATATTTCAAAAAAATGTGTTTTTTCAAAAACTGAATTTTTGATAGCAATTAGTTTTATTTTAGATTCGACTTTCTTTAGATTTGACAACACTATTTACAAACAAAATTTTGGTACGCCCATGAGATCACCATTGTCTCCTATGTTGCTGATTTGGTAAAGTAAAAATTTTAAAAATCTGCTTTGATCAATGAACGTACTTTTTTATTATCGTTATGTCGATGATTTGTGCGCGTCAGTTTCTGCTTCCAAGATTAATTTGTTTCTTAATGCCTTTAATTCTTTCCACTCGGATCTACAATTTACTTTAGAAGTTGGTAAAGATTTTTTGAATTTTCTTGATGTTTCTCCGTCATACAAAAGAATTGGTTGATTCTCTTTCGATTGATATCATAAATTACCTTTTCTGGCAGATTTTAAAATCATCCGATTTCCCACAAAAAGGCTTAATTTTTAACTTAGTAGACAGAGCTTTTATGTTGTCAGATTTCGTTTTTCACACTAAAAACATAATTTTTATTATAAATATTATATTTTAATTAATAATGATTATCCACTTAAATTTATTTTTGATACCTTTAACAAAAAAATAAAAGACATCACGCGAAAAATCGACACGTATCAATAATTTAGATAATAATGAAGAATCAGCGGTAGTTCTTTCTTGGTACTATTTTACTGTACCTTTTGTACCATCAATAACTGAAAAATTTTAACGATTCAATAGAAACGACATCGAAGTTTTTTACTTTAATTCTAATAAACTACAGAAATACATTAAGGTGCATAAAAAACTTCTTGCAATTTTTTATCCAAGTCGAACGTGGTTTACAAAATAAATTGCAACAATTATGATGCATCTTACGTGGGATAAACAGGAAGAAGACTATCAACACGGATTTTTGAACATCAAAATCATATACGATGGAATATTAATATAA